AATGAAGGAGCGGGAATATTTGCTCTTTGGTGGTGCAGGAGCTGAGGGGATGGAAGCTAAAAGCACCCGTGGTCAGTTACCAAATAACTTCTAAAGCCAAAACTCCCAAATCTAAATCTTGGGGAAGATACTTCTATAAATACTCACTTTTTATTAATATTCATCATCCCCTTCCAGTTATTCTTTCCCAGTTCCTGCTGTGGCAGGACTGTGTGCAGTTGGGGTGTGACGCTGTTATCTTTGGGAGTGTGGCACAGGTTGTAAATCTCACAGTCAGGATCCTGCTGAGAAGCACAGGCTGTGCTCGTGGCTCTGCCAAATCCATGAGTGCTTGGCAACGATCCCTTGGGCACATTGGCACGACAGGACATGGGGCCCCAGTAAAATCTTATTTGCGTGCCCTTATCTTTCTGCAGTTCTTTTGTGATGATAGTTAAATGACGATTTAATTGCCCAAATTGCCTGTAAAAATGAAATTACTGAAAGTACTGACATTGCTTTTTCATATTCATCACTGGATCGTAGCAAAAAATGAGGCAAACAAATGTGAAGGTGCTTCAGCTTCTGCAATAAAACAGAGCAACATTTGCCTTTTTTGGGGGGTATAATTTAATTTTCCTACTGACCTTCAAAGGCCACTCATGAAGAACAGTGGTGCCTCAGTATGGATTTTCTGAGACCTCCAGGTGTCTCTTGAGATCTGTGTCATGTTTGTAAGTGATTTGTCTGCTGATGGAGGGTGTTAAATCCACTGCTGCACTGACACCAGCAGGACCCATTGCCAGAAGGAGTAGGAGTGAATGTGGGCTGGTTGCCTCATCCTTCTGCGTAAAAGAAGTTCTCTGGGTAAAAATGGTCCCTGTGAAGCCTGGGTGATGTTTCTGAATTAATTTGTATCTAACAAGTCCTTCAGATATAGAAGGAAGTGTCCTTGAAGTGTGAAGTTTAAACTTTATGGTTAGTTATGCTTGTGTCCTTATTAAAATCCTGTTAAAGCAATTGCTTTAAAACAGTAAAACATGATGAAGTTTAATTCAGCATATAAATTACTATAAAAGTTTAGCTGGAAACTGAACTTGAGCTGTGATTTTTAGAAAAACAGCTGCAGGGAGAGATATGAAGCTTTCCTTACCACAATTATTTGAGGAGACCATCTAGAATTTACTTTGAGTAGCTTTGCAAACTCTTTCCTGATTTCCTAGAGCCTGATGCAGTGGTGAGAAGGCAGGAAGCTTTGGCAGCAGCTCGCCTCAGGATGCAAGAGGAATTGAATGCACAAGCAGAAAGATACAAGGAAAAGCAAAGACAGGTAACCAGAGAGCATTTCTTCCTTTAACTCATACATTTCTCATCAAGAACTTTGCTGCTGTTAAAGAAAGTCTGGTGGGTCTGGTGTTCATTTGTTCCCAGGTAAATCTGTACCTGCAGGAACTTAGTTGTGTGTGCAGTGAATAGCTGGAGGGGTTTTGCTGGCATTTAAATTAACTGTACCACTGCATATGTGTGTTTTCTGCTCTTAAAGGCAAATATAAGTGTTAGAAATGTAGCTTAGCATTGCTGCAATTGAAGGGTCTGAATTACAGCTTGAGATCATGAGGAACAGCGAACTGCTGAGTGGGGCAGTGCAGAAAATATGTGATCTTTCTTTCCTCTGTAGAACCCCACATTGTGCATTGAATTGCTGTCACATGCAATATTCTTTACTTAGTGCTTTTTATGGATTTAGGGTTTGAACTTGCCACTGGTTCTGTTTTACTTTCAAAATGTTTTAAAGCATCAAGTGGCCAAAAAAAAGCCGCAGACTCAGTCAGGACATCCCGAGGAGGGGCAGAGATGTGGGTGTATAAAAGGAGTAAATTCTTCCATAATCTCAGGGATACTGCATCAGATAGACACATTTTGTTGAGTCTGTTGTTTCTGGGGATTCTGTTAGCTCTGAAATCTTAGTTCTTAGATTAAAGCTTTATCCTGTATTTGTTCTGTAGCTGGAGGAGGAGAGGCGAAGGCAGAAGATCGCGATGTGGGAGAGTATGCAAGAAGGAAAAAGCTACAAAGGAAACCTGAAACTGAATCAGGTAACAACCATATTAATCATGTCACAGTTGTGTTTGTGTGATTGAGGGAGCTGAAATTTGTGCTGAGTAACTTTTTTGCTTTTCTGAACAGCAAGAAGTAGAATCTGGTGCCTCTGCCTCAGCAGTCCCAAAATCTAAACCAAACAAAAAGCCTTTGAGAGGAGGTGGTGAGTATGGAATCCTTCACACACTCTGAGCATGGAACAGGTCATTTATCCAGCTGTATCTATGGACTCTGTACATACTTTTTGTCTTTTTAAAGGAAAAAACAAAACATTCCTTACAAATGAGCTCTTTATCTGTGATCAACTGGTCTGCTCTGTCCTTTGTGCAGAAAGCTGGCAGGGAGTTTCGTGAGTGCTTTTCTCTGGGAAAAGAATGTATCAGGTTTTTTTTTTTTGTAAATATGCTTTGGCATAATTTACTGAGATTTTTGCCACTCAGAATTACAGATTCTTACAGTATTTCTGGGATCCCTCCCCCATTATTGTATAAGGTCAATAATTTAGTATCTGGTCTGTCTTTCAAGCACCTGAGGTACTGAGTAAATGCAGGAAGAGGGTGTTTTACTTTGTATTATGTATATTCAGAAGATGAAAGGAAATTATTATGTAAAATGTGACCTTACTTTTAAAATACCACAGTGCTGACCTATTGAATGTATAAATCCTGTAGCTGTATAAACTCTTACCAACTCTCAAAGTGCATCTCACTGTTAAACTCAGTCACCTGCTGGAATCATCTTGATGGATGAAGTGCTTTCTAGTCTCACACTGCCCATGTCAGGCTCACTTGCCATGCAGGCAGTCTGTTTCCTCTCCTCTCAGCCCAGCAGCCCTTGCCCATACCTGCAGGTGCTAATTTGGGTGTATTTTAATGACAGTTTTCCACAGTGGAGTGGATCATCCAGACAGCCTCAATCAGGCTGAAAAGGAGGCCCACTTAGGGTGCAATGCTGAGTGACTTGATTAAGTGTATGAAACCTGTGGATTCTTGATTTAACATCCTAAACCTCAATAACAGTGCAGTGCTGGGATTTCTGCTTTGAGTATTTCTCCTGACATTTGAAGGAATCAAGCTATTGATTCATCTTAGGTTGTTTAATGAGGGTGTGATGTCTGATGCTGCCAGGTATCTTTGATAGCTCTGTTATGGGTTATTTACCTCCCTGGGGATGAGAAATGCAGGGGTCAGCTGTGCTGAGAACCAGGATCAGGGCAGCTGGGTTTGGGCACCCTTCCAGCTGCTACCTGTCCTATTTTAATCCACAGCAAAGTCCTTACTTAAGTAAATTACAAAATTAGAGGTCTCAGATCTTCCCCTGAGGTAGATCAGCGTGAAGTGAAAGAACCATCTGTGCTGCTCAGCTGCTCAGTTGAGCTAGAAAGCAAAACTTGGCTGGTATGAGAAAAACAAATTTCAAAGATTAAGGTAATGCTGGGAGTTTCAGAACAGGTTGCTTTGTAAACCCCCCTGGTTACTAGGATTTGGGTTCTTAGGTTTGTGCAGAAGAAATTGAAGATGTTTGCCAAGTTCTGAGTGGGTTCTTCTGACATGAAGTTTCCCATGGTTACAGCATTAGGATGTTCAACTAAAGTGCATTTGCCTTTTCTACCTATGCTTGCCTTTTCAAATGCTCTAAAGAAATACTTTGCAGTATTAATGAGTGGATTTACATTTTCACCTTCAGACTACTCCTTGCAGGACTGGAATAAGGGATTATTTTAAGTCACTGGCTGTTTGGGCTCTTGGAGAACAGATACACTCTACAGACTTTACTGTAAGAGCTGCTGTTGCTGCTCTATTTATCCTGCAGCTTTAGAGCAGACTTAGAAAAATTAAATGGTGATTCATTTCAATTTCATTTAATCCAAACTGATCAAATTAAAACACAAATGTTATGCAATGGTTTTTAAAAGAGAAACCCTCTCAAGTCTGGATATTTTCTGTGCTTTCATTCTCCCTAAAATGCTGCTTGCATAAAGGATGAGCAAGGTGTAAATATTATGAGATCTATTTTTGGTGTTCCTTGTGCCTTGGTGAAGGGCTGTGGAGGATGAATATTAACAGAGTGGGTTTCTCTGTGTTCCAGGCTATAACCCACTGTCTGGAGAAGGAGGAGGGACGTGCTCCTGGAGACCCGGCCGGCGGGGCCCGTCAGCAGGTGGATGAGGCTAACGTCCCTAGTGTCCCCTGGCACTAGCAGGCTTGATCTTACCCCCTGTCTAGCTGCCTGCAGCTGGCCTGTCACAAGGACTCCTTTGGGACTGGTTTAGTGCACTTGTTAACTTGAAACAGATTTTGTTTGTTTGATTTACACCCTTTCCAAATTGTAACACATTGGCTGATGCTACACCAGAAAAATACCTGATCCTCTTAGAGAGGGCAAAGAGAGAAGCAATTTTGCTATAATCAGTTAATTTTCACTCTTCTGTAGGGAGGGAGTGTAGTTTCCAGCCATAGTGAATCACCTGGGATTGTGAGATCTGGGCTCTCTGACAAATTTAGTTATCTATGCTCACTTTACCTCTGTGAGATGAGGATATTTACCATCCTCAGATAGGTTACCAGATTTGCCTTCCAACTAAACACAGTCATTTAGAGAGGAAGGATATTATCATTGGCAGACACCTTGAATTTAGGAAGGGGGACTTTCAGAAAAAGCACAGGTGATCTGACAAATGCCACGGATTTGCACCAAAGGCCAGTTATTGCAGAAGAGTCTGTGACAAGCCAGCTTGAATGATGTTTTCCTTAGAAATGGTAAACAAACCAGTGAGGATTACTGATGATAGACAGCAGACAGGGGGGTTCTTGCTATTCCTTTTTTTTTTTTATTGCAACTGCTTTGTAAAAACAAGACATTATTAATATTAAATATAATTGCAGACATCGTAAATCTGGTATTTACAATCTTGTGGTTTTCTACAGCATCTTTTTTTTTATAGAAAACATTTGTTCTAGTGCAATAAATGTGTATAAAGCAAGGTGGGAGATGAAGTAACTCTGCTGCAGCTTGGGCAGCACCAAAACTGAGGGTGGTGTATGCTGAGGAGGGCTCTGGCCAGTGAAAGTGCCACACTGGCAAGTGAGGGGTGCAAGGAGTGTGTGGTGTTCATCCTTCTGGTGTATGTCAGCACCGAGGACAAAAAACAACTGGTCATCATAACCAAACTTTCCTAGCATCCCATCCCCTTGATTTTCTCTCTAGAATGCAACAGACAAATAAAATCCAGGTTGTTTTTGGAAAGGAGTGAAATAATTCCTGTTGGCATAGGACAAGTGTCCCTGTGTCCAGTTGCTGTTCCTGAGCTGGTCTGTGGGCACTGGGGAGGGAGCAGTGGCTCCTTAGAGCTTAGGGCTGCCAGAGCACTTGTTTCTGAATATTTACTCTTGGAATACTTGTGCTTACAATAGCTACAAGTGTCAATTTTGAATACATGTTCATATGCTTGTTGATATTTCTCTTGACTAGAAATGCAACAGGAGCATTATTAGAGAGTTTAAAAGTTGGTAATGAAATTGAAAGGCCAAGGAGCTTTTGTTTTAGACACAACAAAGTGTTTGGTCAAGTGTGTGTGGAAGGTGAAGTGAGGCTGTTGATGTTCCTATGGGAATTCATTCAGAGGCCTTCAAACTTCAGGTTTTAATCCTGAATAAGGCAAAAAGAAATAGAGTTGGGGAAGGATATTTTCAACATCTGAAGAGTCTTCCTCAGGAAGTAGGACTAAGTTGTAATGTCGTAGGGAACATCTCCCTTGTGTTGAGAAAACAGGCAACAGACTGAGATGTCTTCAGAAAAACAACTGGGGGAGGTTGTTGTCTTAAAGAAGCAGAAATCCTTGTGCTGGTAAGATGGTCAGGGATGGGTTTATTTAATTCAGTGAAAACATTTGCAAAATAAATAAGCAGGTCTTAACTGAGCATATGCTAATCTTTGTCAGTGTCTCAAGACTTGCTTCTGGCTAGGACTAAGGATATGGCTTTTTGCCCAATTCTAAGGTTTAAAAAGACATGTCAAGTGAAAGTGAAATGATGTACATATTTCTGGAAGTTTCAACCTGATTTTTCATTTTTAATTTTTTTTTAATCCTCAAGTTCCTGAATTTTCTTAGTCAGACACTTCTAAGCTATTGAACAGGGTGGGAGGACGAACCTCAGCTCATAAAAGTTTTCTTTTGGCTCACAATGTGCACAAGAGGGAAGAGTTTTTCCTCTGACTTCAAATGGAAAGCTCTCCCCTGACCACAGCCATTATGGAAAGGTGGTTTCTTGCTGCTTTATAGCTCAGGAGTGAAGCATGTAGAAAGCATTAGGTGAAAGTGAACTATGTAATGAATCCATTGTTCCTGGTTTGGTATGAATTCCCAAGAACTTGAATTATGAAAGATCATATTAAAAAGCCTTCAGGAAATTTTTTTTTCCCCCCACTAGAGCAGTTATGCAAGAAGCCTCTTGCTTTACCCATGCAGATGTTCTGGAAATACCTCTATCTGGAAGAAGCTGGATAATAAACTATTTAACTGCTGGATAATGCTATTAAACCACTGAAGAATAATCTGGTTTGGGTATTAAGAAATAAAAAAAATCAAGCAAGTGTTCAGAGGCACAAAAAATTCCTGAAAATGTTACTTGCTTAAGAAGTGCAGCTAAATATTTTTTGTTGCTTTTAGATGATTTATATGCTGGAGGAGCAGAGTTTTTTGTTTTCTTTAAATTGCAGATGAGATCTGGTTTGTGCATAGTTCTCTTAACTATTCATCAGGAGATACTGAGCACTGGAGTTAAAACTGAACAAAACAACCCACGTTGTCAGACTCATAAAAATTATTTGGCTTTGTTTATGCCTTTAAAAAACATTGTGAAATGAGAGAAAGATTTTAAGAGGGATATTGCATACTTGGGCGTTTAAAAAATATCTTTCTTATACTGGAAATTTTTAATAACAAACAGAAGAGGGAGTTTGGGGGAGTGAGGGCAATGGGGGAATCTGTCAGCAGAGCTGTTCCCAGGTGTTCCAGAGTTATCTGTGTCTCAATCAAAGATCAATGTGAGTGAAAATTATAATTGCACCTGTATCTGCAAGGAACTGCTGTCCTTGCAAAATCCAAGTGCAGGTGTGAAATGCCAGTACTAGCACATCTCATCTGCTGTGTTTATGCAGTTCTGTACTATTCTGACTCCAAACTCAAGGAGCTGGGCTGTTCTGCGGTGGCTCCGTGCTCAGACTCTGCTGATATTCAGCTCAGCTGTTTAGATTGTGGGGTTTTTTTGGGGGGAAGGGGGATGTGTGTCTTATTCCCCTCCCTAGAAGATGACTTTGCATTCCAGAGCTCAGTGAAGGAGGATGGCATCCAGCCTGAGAGTCTCCTGTAGATTTTACCAGCAGCCCTATTGTTTTTGGCTGTATTTAAACCCCTCTAATGCTGTTCTTTCTGCCTACTGCTCAAGCAGGCAGCTCCCTTGTGCAGTTGGGTCCTTGCAAGGCTGGCTGCACATCAGCACACATCTCAGCATCAGATCCACCTTCTGGATGAATTTTGCCCTTGTACAGCTAAAATGTGGCACCTTGTCAGGGACCAGTTTAGCCACAAGTGGGGTTCAGAGTGTTTCTGTCCGCGCTGTAGCGGAACAGTGAAACTGCAATTTCCAGCTGTAAAAAGAGCTGGTCTAGACTTGGATGGGCTGAAGCTTTGGGTTTTTAATTTATTTTTTTTTTCCTCTCCCTCCTGTGTGGAATGAGAGCTTGGCTTGTGGAACAGCTCTGCAACCACAAAGGAAAAGCACACAGCTGCTGGCTGGGTGGTGTCCTGGCCCGGCTGCACCATTGTAGCTGATTTTGTGAGAGCTTCCAGGGCAGCCTGACACACACCCTGCCCATATTCCCAGCTCCAGAGCCAGTGACTTCAAAAACTTCTGTTTTTTTCATGAGAAACCAATGTCTTCAGTGGAATAGGTGCCCTCAGCTCAGCTTCGGTGCGGAAAATACACATTTCTTGTTGAAGATTTCTGTGGCAAGGTGCTGGCAGGGAGGCAGGTGCTGTTCTCATGTATTTATTGCTGTGATTTTATTTTGAAGTGCACACCTGCTAAAAAGAACTTTCAGCACAGAGCAAGATCACTGGTAAATTTACAATTTGACTCCTCCCTCTCCCATAGCTTCTTTCTGTGTGGTTGTTACTGAGCTGAGCTTCTGAGCTGGTTCTGTGGGTAAAAGTCGTGGAGGGAGGCAAGGAAGAGAAATTAGAAAATTTTATTTAAAGAGAACAGAAGGGAAATGGATACCCTGAAATACCTGGCATTTAAGTCTAGTTCTAGTGCCCTGCATTAAAATGGGGAGTTACTGTAAGCTTGGTCTAAAAGCTGCACTTTGAAAAAACCAAAACATCAAGTTGTACAGCTTTACTTTATCACGTACTGGGAGGGGGGCAACACTACCTGTGAATTCCATTTCTTAGGCAATGTAATTGCCACTTCTTTAGGTGTTCTGCTTTTCAGGCTATGACATCTTGCTGCTCTCTTTTTCCATACACATTCTGGGCTTTTCCAGCGCTTTCTTGACTCAGGTGTGGCAGCACCACGTTCAGAAATGCATCAGTCCCCTCCACAAAGCTCGAGAGCCTTGCTACAGCCCGCAGTGCTGCTGCCATCACCGGGGAGATGAGACCCGGAGGTCGGGCAGGTCCCTGAGGAGCTGCCTGGGGAGCAGGAGGGTTTTCCATGGCACTGGCAGCTCTCCCGGCCGGGAAGGCGAGGCGGCTGCACTGCGGGGCCGGGCCGGGCGATGGCAATGTCGGGCCGGCTGGCGGGGAACGGGGACAGCGCTGCTCTCCCTCGAGCGGGCACTTGGAGTCATCCCGCTGGGAAAAGCTTGGGACTGGGCCGGGGCACGATCGGAATAGGACGGGGAGGGGAAAAAAAAGTGGGTGCTGGAGCTGAGAAAGGAGTTTCTGCATCATTTGGGAAAATGCAGCGGTGCTGGAAATACTGTGACAGAGACAAATGCTACTGGTTGCCCAGTGAGATTTTTTCCACTGTGAGTCTGTTACATTGAATATATGAAATATGCTCATTTTCCAGTGCCTGGGCAGTTTTTAAAGTATAAGTTTGAGTATTGGAACATTCCTAATTAAAGTTTCTGGAGCATTTGGGGAGTAGTGCACTTCTGTAGCTATTATTTTAAAATGTGGTCAAGAATATATCTTGTAGAAGGTACATCCTGCAAGTATTGGAGTGGGATTGCTGGAGATCAAAATCAGTGGGAAAAAGTGGTAATAATGCAACACAGTCCTTCTTTCCTCTACAGGGCAAAGTCTCCTATGTGGAAGAAACCTTCTTCATTTGGTATTCAAGTTCTTTATTCCAAAAGGATGACATTTATTCTGTATGCACACACACACACAGAGGCAGCTCAAGGACTTGGCTTTTTCATTGTTTAAAAATAGGATTACTGTTTGGTTAATCTGATTATGAATCTAAACTATGTGGGCCTGTCAAGTGGGCTCTCACCGGCTGGTCTGGGTGCTAATCTCGCTAGAGGGAGTGGGATGGGAGCGTGGAGATGAGCACACACCACGTGCATCCTCTGCAGATTTTGGAGAGCCCTTGGAATACTTCCTCCAGCCATCCTACAGGGAGTTGAAAAGATGCTGCATAAAAATGCGTTTATGCTTGCAGACTGTGTTACAAAAGAAAAATATCACATCTTTGAATATATAGGAACCATGATGTATAGTGACAGCTATTGAGACCAAGAGCTGTATTAATAGGGAATGGCACTTAAATATGATTATGCAGTATGACCTTTTGCTGCCATCCAGATTAAAAATACACTCTAGGCAGGTAACAGTGTTATAATTCCACTGGAAGAACTAAGCCATGCTTTTCAAGTTTCTCTAAATCTGCTTTTTTCCTTTTTTTTTTCCCAGCAGCTGCTCTGTGCAAGAAGAGGGGAGGGGGCAGAAGCAGTAAAAGGGGCATGTGTGTGCCTAGCACTTTAGAACATGAGTTTGGCACAATAAATGACATAAAGGGAGGCATGTGGATGTGCTGTGGGAGTTGTGTGAGCATTGCAGCATTCCCAGGTGGCACCCCCTCTTCACAGCTGGACATCTCAGCCTTACAGCCAGGGGTGTAACCTCGTACAAAACCTGACCGTGCCTCCTCTCCGGGACAAATCCTGACACCAGGAAAGCTCCCCTTCCTCCTTCTGCCCCTTCCCAAGCATTCTCTGACCATCCCTGCACGTGCTGAGCTCCAGGACCATGATTGCCCTGGAGGTGCAGGGAGGTGGGAACATGCCCAGGAGAGTTCTGTGCTGAGGAGATCCATCAGGGGCATGTGCTGCTCTGCTTCATCATTTCCATGTGTGCTGAAGTTGCACGGAGTTCTCAGTTCTAATGACTAACTTCTTTTCTTTGTGGGAAGAAGCCAACTGACAGCTCCTCAGCCCCAACCCAAACCTTTCTCTGTTTTATTGCCTTTTAACCACGCTAGCTCTGCCTTTTCCTGTAATTCATAGGCCACAGTGGCTTTCCCTTGAATCAGGAGATTTTTACAGCTGATTTGGAGCGGGCAGAGAGTAATCTCATTCCTGCTCATGGACTTGCCACATGTGCTTCTCCTGGAAAGGAGTGGCCTTGCTTTGTTTTTAGCTTGAATGTCTCTTGGTGTCGTGTATTTCAGGACCTGATGATCAGGCTTGTGGGGAGAGGAGAAAAGCAGAGTTTAATGAAGAACCTTTTTTAAGCACAGTAAAAGATCCACGTGTGCAGAATGGCACGGGCTGAGGATAACCACAGACTTCATGGAAAGGATCAGTGCACCAGTAGTTAGAAATAATTGTGAAGCATTGCAAACCTTGGGAAGTAGAAAGAAATGACAGTGGTGGCTGGGGAGGGGATGCAAAGGACAGTCCAGCTGGCTTTTGCCAAGCAATGGTGTTCCTGCCCTTCCTGGCTTTGCCTGTCTTGTTTGTACTCCAGTTGGGACTGTTCTTCCTTTCTCTCTCTTTCACCATTTAGTTCTCCTCTTCACACAAACACCTCTCACTCAAAACATCTCTGTTCTGCCCATGGGCAAACAAAAGGAGACGTCCTGCTTTTCTTTCCCGTTCACTGTTTGTATTTCTTATCTAATTTCTATTTGTAATCAATTTTATTGTTGTTTAATACCATAAATCCTGGTGGCACTTTCCTTGTGTTATTTGTGTTCCTGACATCACAAATCCATCTGTGCTGACCTCGGTATGAGGATTGCACCATCAGAAGAGCAATAAACCCCAAACAAAAGCGTTTTTTTCAAGACATATCATCGAGCTCATTAGATAAGCAGATTGTGTCATTACCTGCTCAATCCCAGAGGCGAGACAGTTACTTGTGATCATAAAAAATCTGTCATGTCTCTTTGGCTTATTTCTGTAGAGTATTAATGTGGTGCGACATCCTCTTTTGCAATGGTTCTTGCTCAAGAGGTTGCTGCCGTTACACCAAGACTTTCTTCTTCCCAGCTCGTTGTGGATGACATCATGATATAAATAAAATTTAAAATGGAAAAGACTGGCAATTGGAAAGGCTGAAGTGTGCAGGAAATGGAGGAAGCCACAGTGATAAGCAGGAGGTCAGCGGGTTGTACTTGATAAGTTTCTTCTGTTCAGACTGGATGGTTTTTTTCCTGTGAAATGTGAGGGGTTTGTGGCTGCTGCATTTGAAGCTGAATTGCTCTGTTGATGAAATGCACGTGGAGAGTCAGTGTGGACAAAGGAAAAAGAAATCTTCACACAATACATAAAAAGTCTTCAATCTGTTGAGCGCTCACTGTAGCCTGCGGATGGAAACAGACTGACCTATTTCTGGTTGGTTTAATTAGCAAGGTGGGAAAAACCAGAGAGTGCCTGTGCCTTGGCTCCCTGTCACTACAGCATGTGCTGCACAAATGCACCAGTGCCAGGCAAACAGGGCTGCAAGGCTGCTCCTCACTGCCTGCATCCCCGCGGTCTCTTGGGCAGCAGGGACCCGACCTGGTGCCTATCCTGGATCTGTGTCCCAGTGTCTTCCCACCCTAGTCTGAAGGGCTGGACTCCCAGTTCTGGCCCCTGTGCCAGGGTTCTGCCATGGGGTCTGGTGCAGGGTGCTGGGATGCCTGTCCTGGGCTTATGTCCAGGCTCTCAGTCCCTGTACCCAGAGCTGAGCATCCACATTCTCTTGGCCTCCTGCCCCTCTTGGTCTGGACAGCTGGGCTGAGTTTCTGGCGTTCCAGTTCTGAGGTGCCAGCGTGGGATGCCGGCCCGGAGTCGCTGTCCCCTGTGTGGAATGCCTGCTTAAGGTTCCTGTCACAGAACCACCGACCGCTTTGTGTCGGAAGGGCCCTTAACGCTCATCTCATTCCAGCCCCGCGTCCTGGGCAGCAGGGACACCTTCCCACAGACCAGGCTGCTCCAAGCCCCGTCCAACCTGGCCTGGAACGCTTCCAGAGACGGGGCGGGCCGTGCAGCGGTGCCGCTCCGGGGCGGTGCTGAGGGAGCTGGCTCCAGTCCCGGGCCCTCACCGCGGCTCCCGGTGCCCCCT